AGTGGGTGGATTGTTGCTTGTCCTGCAGCCTAACTTAAAGTTCCGTAGTACATTTGATGCTGAGTGAAGTCTGAAGTGTCTTGTGAGTGATTGTCAGTCTGAGTATTTTAAGCATTCTACTCTCAATCCCCCAGCCTTCCTCTACCTCCCTTTTCCTATAGCATTTAATAACTTTTAACCAACCACTCCTCAGAAACTCTATACTGGGTCGCTATAGATCAGAACCGACTCGATGGAACTTAACAACAACAACAACAATATTCTATGTACCATGGACTGCCAAAAAAAACAAACCAATCTGTGTTGGAAGAAGTGCAGCCAGAATGCTCCTTGGAAGACAGAATGGCCAGACTTTGTTTCTCATGCTTCGGACATATTGTCAAGAGGGACCAGTCCCTGGAGAAGGATGTCCTATTTGATAAAGTAGAGGATCAGAGAAAAAAAGGAAGATTCCCAACTATACGGATTGGCACAGTGGCAGTAGCAGTGGGCTCAAATGTAGCAATGATCGTGGGTTGGCACAGGACCGGGCAGTGTTTTGCTTTGTTGTGCATACGGTCACTATGAGTCGCTACCGACTCGATGGTACCTAATAACTATGTAATATTCTTGTTGTTAAGTGCTATTGAATCATTTCCGGCTCATAGCGACCCTGTATAGGATTTCCAAGGAGTGTCTGGAAACATGTCTGCGTTCTAGTGATTTTATCCAGCAGCATTACCCAGAACTCCACTATGTAAACTAGTTACTTGTTATATTTCTTGGTTATTGTCTGTTTTCCCCCTACCTCTTAACTTAGGCTGGGCTCTCAAGGGAAACAAAACTGGGTTAGAGGAACCAAGATTGACAGGTCATACATCAGGCAGGCAAGCAATAGAGCAGGTCACTGGCTCAAGTCCCAAGAAGTAGAGGTAAGAGGATGAGACAGATGTTAAGACTGAGACTGAGCAGGAAGTCTGTAAGCTTTGCATGAGTGTCTAACATATTGGAAGCAGATCACACCTCTGAGAATGTTGTTGCTGTTTTTGTTAAGTGCTGTCGAGTCATTTCCAACCCACAGTGACCCTGTATAGGTTTCCAAGGAGCAGCAGATGAGCCTGAACACCCACCTTGCAATTCAAACCAACTGTGCAGTGTCCAGCGCATTAGCCCACAGCACCATACCAGGACTCCTACCTCTGAGGATACCTACTTTTAATTGATTGGCTGCTCACAGCAGACCTCATCATAAAATTAATTACATTATATTATACGTCATCTTGGGGATAAATACATCTCAACTGCCAAACCATTGAGAGTCTTGGTCCTGTATAGTTGACACAAAACCTAACTGCCACATCTCCCTAGAAGGTAACCTTCATGAGGGCGGAGATTTTTTTTTTTCTTTTTCATTTTGTTCACTAATATATAGGCCTAGCATAGACAACAAGTCTTGGAATACAGTAGGTGTTCAATAAATATTTGTTGAATGAAAATGAGTGAATATTTCAATGTTTATTTAATTCCAGATTTAAGGCATAGTGAAAAGAAGTTACAGAATTTTTATTTCTTAGAGTCTTTATATTTCTTGTTGTTATATTGTTAAGTGCCATCTAGTCAGTTCCGACTCGTAGTGACCCTGTATAGTTTCCGAGGAGCAGCTGCTGGATTTAAGTTGCTGACCTTTTGGTTTTCAGTCCAGTGCTGATCCTACAGCGCCACACCAGGAATCCAGAGGTATTTCTTAGCACCTAGAATAATAACCGCTAGTAAAATTGGCCATGTAGAGATCCTTGGGGAGGCTTCTCAAATGACATCCGAAAAGATGGTCTTGGAGAAATACATTCTGATATGGTTGGGTTTTAGGAATAACAATGTAAAACAAAGTCAAATATTCATTGGCTTTGAGTTGATATTGACTCGGAGTTACTCCATGTGGTGTC